CCCAACTGGAATTGACCCAACACCAGAACAGTGGGTGCAAATTGCTGATGTCATTCAAGAAAAGAACCATATTCCATTTTTCGATGTTGCATACCAGGTATCCTATTTCTTACACTTCCCAATGTTTCCAAGAGAGTTAAACAGATCCTTATCAACTTTATTTTTAACGCTACATGGACACCTATTTTTCCAGGGCTTTGCTAGTGGAAGCCTTGATGAAGATGCAGCTTCTGTGAGATTATTTGCTGAACGTGGAATGGAGTTTTTCGTTGCTCAGTCATATAGTAAAAACTTGGGTCTTTATGCTGAAAGGATTGGTGCAATCAATGTCGTCTGCTCATCAGCCGATGCTGCTACAAGGTAAAACACTCGCTTGAACTTCTTATCATGAGCCTGTTGCAGTCAGTTTTAACTTTGTAGAAACTTCATCAGTAAAATTACTGCCTTTCAGGGTTAAGAGTCAATTGAAAAGGATTGCTCGGCCTATGTACTCGAACCCACCGGTTCATGGTGCGAGGATTGTGGCTAATGTTGTGGGAGATGCAACTATGTTCAATGAGTGGAAAGCAGAGATGGAAATGATGGCAGGAAGGATTAAGACAGTGAGACAAAAGCTGTACGACAGCCTCGTTTCAAAAGACAAGAGTGGCAAGGACTGGTCCTTCATTCTGAAGCAAATTGGCATGTTCTCATTCACTGGACTCAACAAGGCTCAGGTATGCTCAAAATGTCAATACTCCTTGAATCATATATAGTTGACTTTATTGAGAGAGATGGAGTCTTGAAGTTTGTTTTGGTAACGAGCAGAGTGATAACATGACGAACAAGTGGCATGTGTACATGACTAAAGATGGGAGGATATCGTTGGCTGGATTGTCCATGGCGAAATGCGAGTACCTTGCTGATGCCATCATCGACTCATACCATAACGTAAGCTAAGTTTTGGTCTCAAGAAGATTACAATAAGAACTAAAGTTATATTTACACTCTTTTAGCTTCTTTTTCATCTTATTTGAAAGAGATGGCTACATGAATAAGCTAGTAGCTCAAACTATGATCGCTAGACATTTCGTTATTTGATGTTTGACAGGCATTGTTGTACTGGGAGACTCCCATCGAGTTATAGAGGAAATTGTTACTTTTATCTCTTGATGCATCATAATTCACAAGGATACAATTGTAGTTGCATAATTTCACAATGTGATTGTATTTGGTGGTTTTTATCTTCCTAGTACCATCTAAATCGCATGCTCCATAAATAAGCAGAGACCAAGTACTCCAAATAAAATTATCAGAAGCAATAACAAAAGTATACTACAAAAAAACTTGATAGCAAACAACTTAACAAAAGCAGCTCCAGAGGAGTATGAGTGACATAATTTTGGGAAATGTAAGCAACTGAGAAGCAAGTAAATTAAATAACATAAGGGCTAAGAAGTAACTCTTATAATTATAAAATCTGGAAACATCATCTTGCAGAAATGTAAAAATGTCACAACAAAAATCCAGAAAACTTAGGAAAATACTAAATCAAACAGAAGAGAACAGGCTTGATCTATCACTTAGAATCCGAGCTTGGTTCTGCGCCAGTGTCTGCGCTTGGCATTGTACCTGAAAAACCAACACCAAGCCATTACAAACCAAACAATTACAAAAGGTTTCAGAAATTCAATCACTGCCACTGCAAAAAACTCACAAAGACAACTACATATTCTCTGTCTCTGTCCTAAATCGACAAACATTCCCCAAAGACAACACAGTACATATCTAGTTTCCGACCACTAATCTCAGCCCTAAATTAACAAACAATCCGCAACGACAACGGTACATATCTGGTTCCCGAAATCAACACATGAAGCGAATGACCTATTTTTAATTGACTGATTCAGCAAGGAAGAGAAAAAAATTGACAAACCTGATAGTGTTGTCGGTACGGAGACGAATCCAGTGAGGAATGGGCCTGTTTTGCCTCATCTTCTTGGCCAGCTTCTTCTTTATCATAAAAGACTTATGCGACGGCTGTTTCGTTTCATTTCATTTTCCACACAGTAACAGAAAGCAAATCAGTGATTCCGTTCGAGTTTCTAACTAATATCAAGCTTTAAAACGAATTTTGAACAGGAGAAACGAAAAATTGATTGAAAATAGAATCCAAAATCGAGAGAGAGAAGCCTACCATCTTGAAGTCGGGCGATATGCGGCTGAGGAGAAGAAGTGGCGAGTAACCTTTTCTTAACTTATAATAAGACGAAACCCTAGTCGAGTAAAAAGGCTGGGCTTATTACTCTATATTAAAGTTCTCTAAACGATTTTTCTTTCTGCTCAAGGCCCATTATGTAGTCGAGAAAAAAACAATTCCTAAGGCCCATTTCTTATGTAGTTTACTTTTGTTTTTGTGGCATAATATACATCTTTGTTTTTTTTTTGTCAACCATACACTAGGGCTGGGCGTAAGGCGAGTACTTGCAATTTTGCGTGTATTTGATACTTGACTTGCCTTGCACGAGTAATAAAACTTCTGACTTGTATTTGACTTGTTAAAAACGAGTACTTGCTATCTCGAGTACTTGATCAAAAATCAGTTACTTGCAAGTTACTTGCCTCGCTTTATTACTTGCTAGTTACGAGTACTTCTGAATTATCTATGTGTATTTTTGAGTATTTAAAAATTAATTACTAAATAATCATATACCAAAAAAGACATGAAGGTTTACTTATTTATTTTACTAAAAAGAACATACAATTACTTTAAAAAAATATATGCATAACAAGTTTAATATCTTATTTAGTAACGAGTTGTCATGTTTATTAAATTAATATTTGTATGAAACTAATATCAAATCAAGACAATTATTATTTTTTGCAAGTAACAAGTTTTATTATCAAATAACGAATATTTTGTAGAATGAGTAACGAGTATTTATAAAACGAGTAATGAATACTAAGTAACAAGGCAAGTATTGAAAAATAAAATAATACTTGATACTTGCCTTGCTTTTGCGAGTAATAAATTTGTTGACTTGTTACTCGACTTGGCAACACCGAGTACTTGGATTTTCAAGGCGAGTACGGGTCAAGTAACGGGTATAAGGCGAGTATCGAGTAATGATGCCCAGTCCTACCATACACATCTTTGTTTCTGTTAAAAAAAAAACAAAAAAAAAAAACATCTTTGCCACACTTTATACAAACAAAAAAATCTATGTTGTTGTTGCATCATCATCGCATCCTCTTCTAATGTGCAAACAGAAATTCGTCAATGTGAGTTAGTCTCTTCTTTGTGCCATTTTTTTATTTAACTGTTATCATGATTATGGTGATTTTGACATATCCACGGTAGAATATGCCTTGCGGGTATGTGAAAGTAGAATTTCTACCCTATATACATCTATAGATCAACGGCACCAAACTAGGCCTGAACGGTTGAACTTGGAAAAATGATTTATTATATTTTCTTTAGAACTGCTGCAGGTAAAATAGCATTCGTTATATGTTATTAACATATTTTAGTTTATACCTTGATGGATTGATCAAAAAAAAAAAAGAAAAAAAAAGAAGTTTTTGCCTTGATGGGTAAGAAGTCTTCTGTTATATATTTTCGTTGCAATTATTTAAGGCAATCTCATGAGTAAAAGGTACATATACTTTCACACAGCTACGGTGCTTTTATTTACAGGAAATCATCGTTTAAAGAATTACAACACTTTGATACAGTACAACAACCATACGATTGTGAAATGATTTAAAGAGAACTTTTATCGGTTGAGCATCCACAACAAGGACTCTGCACAGAGTAGTACTCTCGTATCTTGGTCTGGTCTTCCATCATAGACTGTGTGGGAACAACTGAATCTTAAAAAGAGAGAAAACACACACAATGATGGAAAATCTAAAAAATACAAACGCGATCACAAAATTTGAAAGCAAATGGGAACTGAAATAGATGCAACAAACAACTGGGTAAATATAAAGAAACTCAGAATTAAAAAATAATCAAACTTATTAGTCACTACTCTGAACATCAACAAATAAGGCTTCTCTTAATAACTAAACCAACCGAAAAACATTCTTGCTATCATAAAAAGATGAAAATAATATAGCTGGATCCCTCAGAATTTGATTATTCGTCAAGGTATAATCAGTCACTACTTTTAACATTTTTTATTTATTCATCATCATTGAGATCCAGCTAAGTTTACAAAACTGAATATTAAGCAAACAAGAACTCAATCATAATCTCAACAAGAAAACAAAGAAGCAGTTAAGAAATCCCTCAGAGCTGATAGTTTTTCGTCAAGAAGATATCGGTCACTACTTTTAACATTTTTAATCATAATGTCATCATAGGGATTTCTGCAACGCTTCAAATCCAAAAGAAATAAAAATTAAGATCAATTGTGAAAAATAACCAATAACAGAGTCTAGGGACTAAGAAGCATCCAAATGAATATTATCACAACTAACAATAGTCTTATACTCTTATATGAAGGCCATAAGAAAAGAATCTACAAAAACAATGCAAAAAGCGGCGTAGGGTTTTTGTTGTAGCTGTGCGGAAGGAATGAGGGTATTTTGAAAGGTATTTATAAGAGGGTCTCATGTGTTTCTGAAACAGCAAAGCCCTTAGGGTCAGTTAAGGCCCAATTAAAACTTACTTCCAACTCTCTTTTGTTCCGTAGAAAAGAACATTACTTTTTGAGTAAAGTATACTAAAACATGTTATTGACTTTCCTGGCTTGTTTCATGGTACGTATGTACTTTCATTGGTTATTTCAAGTGTTTTGACTACAGTAACCTGATCTGTACCAAAGAATGTGACAGAGTTATCTGACTGGCCAGAGTTCATACACATACTGCGATTGGGAGAACAATCTTTGGACTTGAGAGCAGCTATTTTATTGTCCCAAAATTACCAGAGGACCAACATATGTAAAAGAAACATAAACAAGTAAAACTTATTTTCATCAGTATTTGATAACATCAAGAACAAGTAATTTGTACAATATCCAAAAAAGTTTACATCAAAATATACAAGAGAAATATGGAATTCACAGTCTCTTTTTGCAGATTTTCATGATTCGCCTATAACCATAACATATCAATTACCAAGTGAACACCAAAGGGATTAACAATGGAGGATACATAGCACTTGTTAATAAAGCACAAGGACCCCTCCTCACTTTCATTCATATACAAATACATATAAATTAGCTTTTCAAACAATGATAAAGAATCATATTTTTCTAATCTCGAGGTCCAGATGCATCAGAAGGAACTCCATGTCTTTGCTTTATCAGAGGACAAGAAGAAGCAGAAGGAGAAGAAGGAGGATTACCGGTTGATATTGACCTGACGTGTGAAGGCTTATTATCTAACCTTGAATCAGATGATGCTAAAGGACCCGATCGGCTTCTCAACTTCTTTTTCTTCTTCTTCTTTTTCTTCTTACTTTCTCCTACTTCCAAGAGCTTCCCGTCTTTACCTACCTGCTTCACTTTCATCTCGTTCAAGCTAGCCGGTAACACACAGTTGCAGATGAAACCTTACAGTTCATAAACCAAAAACACAAAAAAAAGTATTAATACACCTCTTAACATTAGTTGAAACATTTTATGGATGAGGAAGTTTGGTTTACCTAAGCGAGCAAGACGGTTGACCCAATTAGGGATTGACTTCTGAGTTAGCTTTAAACAAACATCGTTACAGAAATGATTACAGTTCCTTGTGATGAGGTGGTACTTATTCCCCTGATACTCTTCTGCTAGTTCCTCCATAAAACTTCCAACTTCTTTCGGTTTCATCTCCGTCTCACCCACCAGAATCGATTTCCTGTAGGTGAAACCAGGACACTTCTTTGGCTCCACTTTGAAAATCCCAGTGCTTGAATGCTCGTGTGCCCCATATCCATATTCAACCCCATGAACTACACACAAACAACAGATAAACCAAAACCCCAAAAATAAATAAAAAACAAATGAGTTCTTGATCCATTAGTCAATGAAGCAATATATTATATAACATTCAGTTTTCAGTGAAATAAACAAAAACGTATTGTAATTTGTACAATTTGAGTCATCATTCAAACCAAGCAAAACATAAAGACAAAACCCTAAACTATGTTCTCTTATCATCAAACACAGATTCAAAGTGATCACTTTTATAGAAACCAAACAGCAATACATAAAAAAAAAAAAAAAAAAAAAAAAAAA